CGTGTATGTATTTTGTGGTTCCCATTGTTATTTGTCTCATGTAAAATTCTGAGAAGCATCTGTCACAAATATATCGGCTTTGGTCATTTAAAGAGAGATTACATATGTACATTTACATACATACATAACATATTTCACTCAATGCTTGAAGAGTTGTCAGTAGTTCGACTGAATTCGAAATTGATTTTCCGAAATGCCGGGTATGTAATAAAAACATCGGTAAATTTACAAAGTATACTGACTGACATCTTAATAAAAAAAATATAGCAAAATTTGCAAATTCGAATTGGTTTGTGTGTACTCAAATTCACCGCGTGGCTACTTAACGTGACAACAACAACTGCTTACTTACATATTGATTAAGCTATCGAGTGGGTGGGCTATTGAAAATAAGTATTGTATAAATAATAATATATATATATATATATATATGTAATATAGGGGAAGAAGAAGAATATTTACATCGTGAGGGATTATTTTGTACGACATTTAAGTCTATCGACACACTCCAATCGTCAGGAGTAAGCCAAAAATGGTAAGGCACGTACTTATACATACATACTATTCATAATTGATATTTTTCGCTTTACTGTCTTTTGTTTTATTCCATAAAGTAGGAACAATTTGTATAGACATTATAACAAAGCTTATTGAAATTCAGTTAGCAATCATAATTATTAATAGCTACATGCTACGTGTATATATAATTGCCACTTTGTAGCCGCTGAAGCGATTTTCGGCCGAGCTCCTCAACTGGTATGCGTCTTTATGTAACGGCCGATGGAGCTTCCTTTGTGTTAGAAATACACTCGAAGGGCTTGGTATTCCCTGACGAGGCACGATCTCAAGTAGAAAAATTAATTTTCTATAAATTTGGTTCATAAAGTGGAACTCAGGAACTTAAATAGCAATTACATTCCTATGTGTTGGGTACGATCACATTAAGTGGGCTGGAAAAATATTTCGGCTTGGTTTTACAATATTCACTTTGAGGTGGAAAATAATCGCATATCTCAGAATCCTCTGTTGCTTTTATATATACTTATATCAAGTACCAACAAAAATGGCTGACATAAATCCAGACATAGACCTACCTTCCATAAAACATACATTTTGTTTTTTTTTTCGATCGAGCATTTAAGGGGCACACCTTGTGTGAAATTTCCTATTTTTTCATATTTCGGTAGATTACATCTTTAAAAATAACATATTACAATTTCAAATCGATATCTCAAATAGTTTTTGAATTATAGCAATTTAAAGAGCAGCCGCTCGGCAGCTAGAGAGTATCATTGGCTACGAGTGAAAACGATCATTTTATCTTTAAATGCGTTTTTCTCGAAACAGTAATTTCCGATTTTGCTGCAGTGATTATTCAAAAACAAATGATCCGATCACTATCGAATTTTTGCACATGTTCTATATGTAGTTCTCCGTACAATGACCTATCGATTTTTGATCTGATCAAAAAATCGAATTTTGGTAGTGCAGAAACGACGAAAATTTTGGTTAAAATTCGACTATTTTTTTTTAAACGCCGCCATATTGTAATTTTTTGATTTTTTTCATAGTAGGTCATTTTACAGACAATATTATATAGTTAAACGAGATTGTTTTTTTAGAGATTTCATCCACAATAAAATATTTTTTTTAATAAAAATTCTTAAAAATCATCATTTTTTCTAGGTCATTACTCTAGTTGAAATTTGTCTACTAAACTTGTTATTTCTTAATGGATACGCTGGCTGTAGAGAGCTGCAATCATTTTTATTATTGTATAAGGATTATCGGATCGTTAAAATGACTGAGCGATAAATTTAACGATATTCGCTATCGCTTGATCAGCTGTTTTCGAAACTCTCTGATTAATCAACGAATATTTTAATGTTGTTTGTGCCATCGGCAATATATTGATAGTTTATTGAGGTTAAAGGGAAGTAAAGTAGATCGAGAAATTACCTAAGCTTTATAAATAGAAAAATAAATAAATAAGCAAAAATGTTTTTTAAGTGTCTGGCATACGTTTTATTCCAGTATGAGGAGGTATTGGATTCTTCATCATTGCATAGAAGTTTGATTTGAGAAGTGGAATATCTTTTCTATTTGAATGCAACTGAGTATATTAATTATGACCAGATTTAGTTGAAGAAATAGCTTCTCGACTTGATAGCCAACTATAAGGGAGCAATTAGCGAGAAATATGTAGTAATATAAATTTTGAGTATTTTTTCAATTGCAGAATTCCATAAAACAACTAAAATGGTTGAATTTTGTAACCGCCTGGCGGCTGGATGCTATCAACGTCCTGTTGGAGAGCAATGGATATCTGTGAATCAGTCGCTCGTAAGCCGTTGTTCCATTGTGTAACAGACGCATTCTATAATTTTTACGCAGGTTAGATTTCTCATTTCACAAAAGAAATTTTTTCTTTATCATCGTCACAATTTGTTGGAGACACAATTAGGGTTATCGACTACACTCAAGTGTCAATCATGAGCCTTAGAACTCATGATAACTGTAAACCACCATGGATGTCATTCTAACAATATGCAATTGATGAGGGTAAATATCTTTTTCAATTGACATGTGATTTTTATTTCAAGACTTTGGCGGTAAGCGGAGTACCTGCTTCTACGCCGTCCTGTCCAGCAGTTGCTGAACGTGTTACTGGATGGTGTCCTTTAAATCTAGTACTCACTTTCTGATGTTCAGCCCCAATGAGATGCCAATTGGGGTGTTCCCTGCGGATGATATTTGGTCGGTTGTATTCAGAGCTGTGGTGCAATAAAGAAGCAATCATCGGCATGTGAGGTGAAGGAAATCCCTTCTGGGCATTGACGGAGTGAGCGTTGCGAATGGTGTCGCGCCTTGATGGCTAGAATTGATACCACTTCCCTTCGGGGAAATTATGCAGTGTGAAGAGTCATGCTGCGTAGTTTGCTATTATGAATTTGTTTTGGTTTTGTCATTCCACTTTGTGCTTCTCGCATTTTTTGACGTCTTGTTAAAGAAATGTTCGTTGCCGCTTATGGTTAAAAATGTGTACGCGAATCGTATAATCGTTAGTTCAAGCGACAATGCTTCCTAGAGTTACGAGTCGACAAATCGTCCTAATAAAAGTTACCGCATCGCAACAGTTAACATGTAACAAGATGCATACTTACTTTTGTGAAAGCCAGAGAAATCGCCTGGCGTTTTATATAGATATTATATACCTTGAATGCTCGGTCTCACCCGTACTGGTTTTTCTCATACAGAATTAAATGAATTAATTTTTTAAATACTTTTATTTTTGTTTATTTAGTTAATTTAATTTTATTATTTTCATCTTAGTTTATTATTTTAATTATAGTTCGTTTGTCTACTTTAATTCATTGAATTTCCTTTGGTTTTTTTAATTTCTTTATATTATTCTATCTTACACTCTTTTATTTAGTTTTATTTTTCTTTGTTTTATTTCATTTCATTTTATTTTATTTTATTTTATTTTATTTTATTTTATTTTATTTTATTTTATTTTATTTTATTTTATTTTATTTTATTTTATTTTATTTTATTTTGTTTTAATTTATTTCATTTTATTTTATTTTACTTTATTTATCTCTTCATATCTTTTATTTTGCTTTATTTTATTTGAATTTGTTATTTTTATTTTTTACAATATTTAATTTTGGTTGGCTTTATTTTTCTTACTCTATTTTTTTTTGATTTTATTCCTCTTTATTTTATTTTATTTATATTTTCATATCTTTTATTTTAATTTAAATTATTTTAATTTTATTAATTTTATTTTTACTTTATTTAATTTTGGTTTGTTTTATTTTTCTTACTCTATTTTTTTTTGATTTCAATCTTCCTTATTTTTATATTTTCTTATCTTTTATTTTGCTTTAAATTATTTGAATTTTTTTTTATTTTTTTTTTACTTTATTTAATTTTGGTTCGCTTTATTTTTCTTACTCTATTTTATTTGATATTAATCTTCTTTACTCTATTTTTTTACTTAAATCTTCCTTATTTTATTTCCTTTTATTTCATTTTACTTTATTTCATTATTTAATTTTTTTGTTGTTTTATTTTATCTGATTCTCTTTTCCCTTTATTTGCTTTCAATCCTATTTACTTTATCTCATTTTATTGATATATTTTATTTTGTTATATATTAATTTTTGTCCTTTTTTACTTTCATTTTTCATATCTTTTCACTTTATTTTATTTTTATTTAATTTTATTACTTTTCTCTGTCATATATATAAATATATATAATTTTTTTTTTAATTTAATTCATTGTTTTGTTTTAATTTTCTAATATTATTTCATTCCATTCCTTTATATAGTTTTTTAATTGAAGATAAATATTTAATTTAAATTGTTTATCGTATACTTTTTCGTACACAGTACATAACAGCTTGTAATAAATAAATATTTGCATGTCTTTTCAGTAATAAATAAATCTCGCAGAGTAAATAATGACAAATAACAACGCATCTTTTGTATAAAGTTGTCATTTGAATTCACCTTTTTTCGCATACTGAGCACGTACATATAATATGCATGTATGTATAAGAGAGTGTGGCGCATTAAACAAGCAAAATCGGAGGCATTTGACATCAATGGAAAAAATCACAAACTTTTCCCAACTTTAGCAATTAAAAAGCGTAACGATTTTTATACATATTTTTTAAGTATTTAAAAAAAAAAATGGTAGACCATAAAATTTTAACATTAAAATAAATGATTGTTTTGATGCTGCTCAATTAAATACCGCTAGTGGGATAACTATACTTTTTTTATTGGCAAATTTAAGAGAACAGCTGCAGGTTATAGTTTTTTGCGTAGGTATTAAACTCCGTGTACACAGGGTTGTGTTTTGCGATATCAGATTTCAATGATACAAGTAAAATAGTTCATACTGTACGATACATCACACACACGCACACACACACACCGCTATAACGATTCCTAAAATCACAGGCACACAATTAAAAAAAAACACATCAGACATTTTCTCAGCTTCTTTGTGACCATAGCAAATTTATTGTATAATTTTATATGAATTTTAATGCTTTATAAAACTATGTTTTTTTTCCTGATACTTTCATAATAGCTGCTCATGCGCTTGCAAATTAAAAGACATACAAAAATAATGCTTAAAAGCAATCACAATCCATCGTTATACAAACCTACATGCTAAGCAATTGGTTTTCATATTATAATTTTCTTTTGCATTTTCTACTCGATTTATGTAAATACGCATCACTTATTCGTACTTAACCTATACACATACTATATATGTATGTCTGTAATTCCCTAATTTACATTAGATATTTGGTATAGCGTGTACAAACACATACAGATGTACAAAACATCAAAAATTAAATATATGTATATGAAAATTTTTGCACAAATAAAAATATGAACTAAATTAAAATACTTAAAAATTAAACAATTAATTTAAAATTAATCGAAAGCTAATAATTCTTTGTGATATGATTTTTAAATAATAATTAAAAACTAGAACGACTAGTTATATACATATAATATATAATTTTAATTTTTATTAAAATTCTATATTGAACCGCAATTGACATATAATGTAGTAAATCAATTATGAATTAAGATATTTACTTATATTGCGGTCAAGTTAATCACGCAAATGGCTGCTTACGCCAGTAACTTTCAACATCAAAAAATATATACAATTAAATTGTTTAATAATTATAATATACATATACTAATGTATATATCTTGTGTACTTATGTGAACTTATATAATATTAAAACATTTGACACGCATCACAGCACCACGTCTAACGGTTTTATTATGTCTTCGTTACAGTACTACGTGCTATTAGGTATTAAGCTCTAAATCGCAAGCTCAATTCGATCGGGGGTACAAATTCCTTTATACGTAGATATGTATGTACGTATATAGCATTTAGTTTTTTTATATCGTATTGATTGTTGTTGTAATAATTTACAAGCGTGCACAGAAATTATAGAGTAGTTGTTTATCTTCAAAGTGATAAACATTGTTTATATGCCGCAAAACACGTCCATCCACCAAATGTCTAGCATAATGCACAGCCTCCAGACGATCCTTGGCTAGACCAACTTCGATTAGCCAATCTACGAATTCGGTGCCGTAAAATACTTTGCGGTAAACTCTAATGCGCCATCTGCACGAAATGATAAAAAAAGAGTTATAAGTAAAATTTTATTATAAATAAAAACTAATAATTATTTATAATAAAAGGATATATCAATTCAATAATATATGCCCTACGAGTTTCGATTTTTAGTCAGTTCAAAAAAAAAAAAACAAATATTATCTTGAAAATTTACTGTACAAATTTAGTATTAAGCGAGATATCAGCTAGGTAAAATATTTTATCGAAAATCGGAATGTTACGTACCTTATCAACATGTTTGAATTAGCTGATTTTAAAAGAAAACTCTTTGAGTTTAACAGGTTTTTCTTCGTAAGTTAATATGGATACGTATTTTAGTTGAGAAAAAATTACGGGCTTGAGTAAGGCATGTCTCTATGATTTTATTTCTTTTTTTTTTGTAATTAAGTAGTCAAATAATATTTTATTTCATTTTAGAAGTTAAATTTTAAGATTATATTCCTTATCGTTGTTTAAAAACCACACACCTTAAAGATGTAAATGAAGAAAACGAAAAGCAGATGTTTTATACAAATGGCAAGTTTTCATCGGAACGTCATCTGGAGTCTTCAGGCCTTTCATTAAACAATTCATTTAAGGTAAACATTAAAACGCATTCCACAAATTGGAGATGGAGCTCAGTCGAAAATCGCATCAGCGCTTTTAAAGCGCAAATATATATATAGTCTAGTATGGAAAGGAGTCAACTTTGGACTTGTATACACATCTTGTTGAATAAGCTGAAGGAAAAAGGTCTATTTGGCAAGGAAATGAGGCGTGATGTCTTTGGTACGTGACAAGTCTTTGATAATGACTCTGGCGTGTCATGATCATTTGGCAATACAAACAACTGGAATTCCACTGCAACTTAGCGTTAACACCGATAAAACAGACCTACTAGTTCTATAAATATCAGCTTGAATCGCAGCAAAGTTGGGAAAGATCACTTTACAGCCAAAATAAGCACTCGATTTTGGGACAATCAAATTGAGATGGTGGCTCTATATGGATAAGCGACTCCATATATAACTATAAGGTACTTTGATCGATCGGTGGTCTTTCACTTACGCTCACGCATTGACACTTCTTTGCGATTTTTAAGCCAACACTTTTCTATGATGTGATAGTGTGATGGAAGGTTACAGAAAAGAACACATATCTGGAGAGACTGGAGAGGGTAATGAGAGTTTCAATGATTAGCATCACTGGAGCACTCAAAACAATACCAACATTACCTCAGTGTATCTGGTAAATCTAAAAAGGTAAGACCTATGTCAGCCTGTCAGCCAAACACAATCTCGCGGTGATCTTTAAGCCAATACTTTTCTATGGAGTTCATATCTGGAAAGGTTGGGGAGTCTAATCATACTTTCATTAATAAGTAATAGCATAATTCGGAGTACTGAAAACAACACTAACAACAATAACCGCTATAGTAACAATAACACCTCGTGTGTCTGGTAATCCTCTGGAGGTCTCACCTATATCATGGTCAATCTAATCCCAAGTGCACTGAGCTTGCGAATGCTTCTTACAAGTTTGAAACTAAAATTAACTAGACAGCTGACAACAAAATCCAAAAGTTCCCGCGACAGTCCGGTCTTTATAACGGAATGACCCGGATTTTTTATCTGGCCAAGGACTGCCACTCCCGCAACATTCGCCAAAAATTGTTTGGGTAATATTTTTTGTCGTTATGAAAACAACAACAATAACTGACAGCTTACTATAAATGGGGTTAATTAGTAAAATGCTTAGATCCAATCGAAATATAAATCCGAATGTAAATGAAATTTCAACTAAATATCACACAGCTATGGTTCGAAAACTTTTACGAAATAAAATAACTCAGAAAATATAATAACACTACAAACCTTCTATCCTTGGCAATATCTTTCTTGCAATTCTCCAAATGATGATTACGGAATTGTTCACAAATATGCTTCGTTTCCGGACTGAGACTGGACCACAAGGGCAAAGTGAGAACATTAGCACCATACCTAGAGAAGAATTACAAGTCAGTTCACTAAATTAATTATTTAAATTCCCAATAAACTTCTACTTACCATATTTTGCGCCAAATCTTCACAAACGGCGTCAACAACTCGCTGGTATCAGTGATAAAGAGAGCTAACACGATTAAGCTTTGACCGAAATTTAAGAAAGCATCGAGAAAACTCAATTCCAGATAGATGCCAGACATGCCATCCATCACCAGCGTCCAAATCGACACAGAAAGGCCTACAAACATTGAACAGAGCAGAAGGATCAGCAATACTGTATGCCTCAAAGTCTGATATTCATCAGCATCGTTGGCATATTCCAATGGTTCTAAGCCACTACGTGTCTGATCTTGATAACGTTCGATGATAGATTGACAATTTTGACGTGAAGTGCCAGCGCCACAGTTGAAAGCAGGACTGCAAATACCCGAACGTATGCCAAGATTTCTATACAATAAAAGAGAGAGAGAGCGCAAAAGATTTGTAGAAATTATTTTTAATATAATTAAATTTACTCAAAATCAATTGAAGCATGCACACTTACTCATCCTCAAATTGATCTGTTGACGGCGTCGTTGCTGTATCGATGGTTCTTTGACGCACCGAGCTATCTGCAGCATTCTTTGCAGCGGCATCACGACGTCCCAGTAGGTCTTCAATGTCTACAACAACAGTTGTAGTTGCCGGACTGGTAGTGCTGGAGCAACATGTGCCATTGCCACCACTACAGCCGCCTGTAATTGTGTTCGGGCCATTATCTGCTGTTGAAATGACGTCATCGTCATCCGACGAAGAGTACGAACCATAGCGACGACGCTGTGCCGGTACGCTGCCATTCGAGAGACGTGCGCCATCGGTATTTGTGAGCAAATTCGCAGTCGATATGGTCGATTGTAGTTCAGAAGGTTCTAGTTGGGGTTAGAAATATATTTAATATGCAATATTCAAGTTATTAAATAAAAGTCAATATTTAATTTACCCGAATCTGGATTGGATAACTCTCTTGTATATGTCAAGTATTTCTCATAACGTTTTTTGTAGCGTTGATGCATCACCAAGCAGCCGACAGTTACTGAAAGTAGGCAAAATCACACGGGTTTGTATACAAAATAAAAGCATAAGTCATAAATTAATGAGTATAAAAATATCTTAGTCAGATTGAAAACTTTAGAAACATCACTGCAAAGCTTTACACGGCAAACCACGTCATTTGAAGGTCAGTTTTTGCCAGTCAAAGGCTGCAGCAGTTGCTTAGTGTCATAACTTGCACTGTCAAATGCTGTGGAAGCAGCGATTTCGTGATCACCGACTGCCGTGGATGTCGTTGCAAAGCCCCTTGTAACTTATCAATATCAATTTTCTCATCATTAAAACGTTTTTTCTCGGACATTATTTAAAGAATAATAAATAAATTAAGAAAAGAATTAAACTTACCAAAGAAGCACATGACAAGCATAAATACAGTGACTGCAGCCTGCGCTGTGCCATATTGAAAGCAGGGATTGTGTTTATCCGGTGATAAAATCTTACTATCCAAGGCAATTAATAAACCGGATATTAAAGCAGGTACACCCCAGGCAAAAGCAATCTATTTTGAGAGAAATAAATAGTACACCGTTGTATGATTAAAAAGTTTTCGGTAAAAAAAAAATGCACAAACACACCATATACGGCCACATATTGAGCACAAAACACAAGCTACGACACTGCAGGAAGAGTAATGAAATCGCCAATATTGCAGTCCATAAACGGCTGCTAAACGTGCCCATATTGTAGAGGAAAAATTGCAGATATATCAACCATTTCTCGACATGTTCGAATTTAGCCCAAATTATTATAGCCATGCAACACATCATTTGTGAGAGCACCAAACAAAAAGTGATGCGATGAGGCATACGTCTGAAGCGTTTTGTGACAATCAAGAGTATGAGCACCCAAAGCGCCGCCGCCACGCCAGCCACACTTATATCAAAGGAGAATATATCCAGTTCGTGTATATAATCTACTGGATTCAAATTTGTTAATGAAATCATTTTAGCTGAGATGAACATTAGCGGCGCAGAGATGAAAGTGCAGAGCACCATGCCTGTAGCGACCTAAAATGGCGAAATAGTTTAAATTAAATACCTTTTTTGGTAAATATTGTAACAACCTACCAACTCCACTTCGATATTATATTGTGTGGCAATAACAAATGCGCCCGGTGCGGCCGGAAATGTACCATATAAAAAGCCAAAAGTGCTTAGCTCTGTTGTATCATTGAAATCTGTGCCCGCTTGCATGATGTTGACCGTTTGACGGCACACTAATGGCAATACCAAACTATAAAATGTAAAAGGTAATATGCTTTTGCGGAGCGCCAAAAAGTATACAACGCGTCACTACAACTTACATTTTAACCAATATCAAAATGCCGGGTAGTAAAAAGCCTGCACCACGTAATGAGCCACCTTGACCAACAATTTTCAAACCCAACAGAAAGAGCGCTGTCGCCGAAAAAGATTGACCAAAAACGCGTAAAACGCTTGCAAGCATTTCGGGTAGACCATTTGGAAAGACAAAAGCGCCACCAACGCCCAACAGCGTCATGAGTAGCATTGGATTGAAGAAAAGCGATTTGATTGTGTGTAAAACCAACAGTTGCTTTTCGCCCAAACAGCGTGTGCGCTTTGTCAGCTGCTCTGCCGGGCAATTATCCGGGCAGATGGGCGTTACTTGTGCCTGAAAATAATAAAATCAAAATTTTATAAGCGAAAACGAAATAAATTAGATATAACTCACCGCCTCTGCTTTGGTTTGCATTATTTTGGAGATTTCCATTAACACCAGACCGATAGGATTGAGTACGGCCAGTGAAATGGGTGCCATCAAATACAGATAGGAAGCATATTCCGGATGTACATCTTTGTACAGGGCCATTACTGCAAGGAAAAGTACGTTGTGAATTTTTATGTTATAAACAAAAAAAAAATTTCCTTTTTTTTGCCTTTCTTTTTACTCACCAATTGGATATCCAATTGCAAAGTCATTACTCTGTGTACAGAAAATACTAAGCACACCGGCACGCGCATAATTGAGTGGTCGTGTTATGAGCAGTGAGATGACAAGCACAGCAAAGAATACAATCGACTTGGATAGCGCCATTGCGAGCAGAAAACTCCAATTCACTGTACTCCAATCAAGCTCGACCAGCGAGAGAAAAATCAACGACGGCAATGCAAATGTGCCCACGAATGTGCCAAGGCCCTTAGTTTCCGAATTTGAGATGATTTTGAAACGGCCCGCTATGTAACTGTGAAGTAAAGTAAAGGCAAATGTAAGAAAATGTATTTACATATATACATATAAAGTATATAAAAAATAAAATTAAATGTAAATCTACTTCGCTTTTATTAGATTTTTTAAGGTCATACATTTTTAACCTTGAACAGTAAACTATTCAAGTGCAATTCAATTGAATGGAATTAATTGCAGATTACAGCTGGATTCAGTTCGAGTGAAATTGAAACAGCTGAATTTTGAAAAATACTTAACTCACTTTTTTTCATATTACTAAAAAGTGTAAAAAAGTATGACATAACCACCCATGTACCTTTTTTTCATAAAAAAAAAATTAATTAATTTACTTATAATTTTTTTATTTGAATCATTAAGTTATTTTGCGCCCAGGTCTTCAAATTCTAGGCCCGCAATGTCCTAAGAAATGGCGTTGTTATTGCTGTTGTTGTTATAACCGCATAAATATTCCCTAAAGTACTTTTTGGCCGGATAAAAATCCGGGTTGTTCCGGTATAAACACCCGACATGAGGCATGCCTTATCGCGGGTAAATTCTTGAACCCCCAGCTGAAATAATTAATTTAGTTTATGGGCCCGGTACTGTAAACGAACGTGTAGCACAAAAGTGATTTGCTACGTTCCGTTCCGGTAATTTCGATGTCAAAGATGCACCACGCGTCGTGCGGCCTGTCATCGAGAATTGCGATAAAATCATGTAAATACTGGAAACAGACCGTCACGTGAGCACTTATCTAATTGCTGAGGAACTACAGATAAGCCGGAAAACCGTTTGGAACCATTTGCACAACCTTGGATTCAAAAACGAACGCTCAGTTCGCCCCTCTACTGCCAACAATTGGACCGCTTGAAGGCAGCACTCATCCAGAATAGGCCATCTTTAATCAACAGAGGCCGAAATTGTGTTCCATAAGGACAATGCCAGGCCACACACGTGTTTGTCAGAAGCTGCAGGAGCTCGGATGGGAGGTCCTAATACACCCACCTTATAGTCCGGACCTGGCACCAAGTGATTACCATCTTTTCCTGTCCATGGTAAGAAGTTGACCTCAAGAGAGGCCCGTGAAAATTGGCTATCTGATTTTTTTTGCCAATAGGGACGCAGCCTTCTACGAGAGGGGTATAATGAAGTTGGTATCTAGTTGGCAACAAGTTTAGGAACGAAAAGGGCGCATATTCGACTTAAATTGGACAAATGTACACAAAGTTATCATATTTTAAAAAATCAATAAAAAAAAACCGAACGAATTTTTTACTTGACCAATATTATCTATTTTTACCGTTTTTTAAAATTGCTTCTCCAAGGATTTTTTCTTTGAAAAAACCTACTAAAATTTTGAAATGGGTAACTTTCTAGTACATTTTAAACTCTAAGCGCGTTTCAAAGCTACTTTTTAAGGTATTCTTAAGGCAGGTGTCGAGATAATTCTTTAAGCCGGGAGCCAATAAGTTAAAATATTCTACGAACTTAATAGTTGAGGTTAGGTTAGGTAGGTTACTGATGCGAAGAGATCACAAATAGACAAATAAGGTATGTCTATTGTACTGCTACAAAGAGTGAAACTCTCTTGAACGTTAGACTACTCTTTATTTAGAAAATCTCTTAAGAGCTAAAGCCACTGCATTGCATCATTTCTAAGACTCAAAGAAATCTTATAAGTTTTCCGAAATCATAGAGTGGCTTGACCCATTAATGCATGTCAAAAATACACGATTTCGCTCGATTTCTGTAAACTCTTTGGGTTGTTGGTAAACGTAAGCCCACCGGGAATTTTAAGCCTTAGCCTCGCAAAAGCAAGTACTTAGATAATTCTATCTCTACTTCCCAACCACTACGACAGTGACGATCCGAAAAATTCGAAGTCTTGACGCTCTAATTCTCATAAGACAATATCCGGTCATCAGAAGAACAGCAGGTAACTAGATGGCAGAGTAGCATTCACTTGCGCTTTATGCGGCATTAACAATTGCAAGTACGTGCAAGTTCATCAACATTGTGACCCAGGACCCTTATTTGATTTTAAATTTGAAATAGACAGAAAGAACAAATATTTCTTAACAATTTAGAAGCTCAAATGATTGATCCAAAGGCAGTAAAAGTAAAAGCCGAGTAAATGTTAGTTCGTCTTACAGAAACCCCACTTCGAAGTAAAGTGTCTACAACTGTTGAAATCGATCGTAAAGCACCACAGATGTTGATGAAAGCCGCGCGTTAAACGAATTTCAGCAGCTTAGCTTTCCAGCGACTGGCACCATGCTAACTAAACTAAACTCATGTATGATAGATCGTAGTGTGCTTGATAGGGTAGTAGTATTTTACTTTCTCGAATAAATTAACGCGAATGTCCTCTAACGGGATCGTATTCTCCTGGCAAATAGGACAAGTTCTGTTGAACTGAGATTTATCGCAAAACAAGTTCTGGCTGCCCAAATTTTACCACATGAAGTCAAAATTTGCAGGAATTTACCGCTGACCAACCGCGCTACATCATCTGCGTAAGCGATCACCACTTTCCAGTTTCTTTAGAAAGGCACTGACCACCAAATTAAAGAGAAGCGTCATAGGAGAATGCCATGCAGAGTGCTTCTATCAATCTTGTCTTTTGCAAGTGCTGGATTTGGTTAAAAGATGTAATTACGAATAGATATTATTAACAAATTCCAAAAGAGAAGGATGGCGTAATAAGTCGAATGGTTACTAGAGACGAAGCTTGGTTTCATTGGAGTCAAAACTAGACTTTAAGGGCACAGCGCAACTCAAGAAATTTAAAGTATCGCAGTCGTTGAGAAATTCATGCTAACGATTCTTTGGGAAGGATTAGCCATGATCGAGTTTAAAGATGAAGATGTTTCTATCTCTGGATTATTCAAATGTGTTCAAGAAGGAAATTTTCGAGTCTACCTTTTTGAAAATCACCATCTTATTTTATATTCCTTTAGAGTTTCTCACATTGCCTAGCTGTTGGCGCTGGAGTTCAAGGCATGTTTAAAATGCTGCACCGGGTTATCCCCGTATTCCCGAAATTCTCTTTTTTTTTATACAATTTGAGCATTGAAATTATATGTGAAATGACAGCCTCGCGAATTTTCGCAAAATTCGACCAGTTAAAGGTACATTTCGACCATTTATGGCACATACTCGTATTGGCCGATCTTCCAGCCATAAAAAAAAATCCTCCATGAAACCAACCACATTGTGTGCAAAAAAAATTCGTATAAAAAAAAGCAGCAGCAATGACACTTGTTCTTATGCTTACAACCGTCCTTCACCGTTGTTGAAAACACTTTCACAAGCAAAATGCACAACGCTTCCTGTGTCGCATTCAAAGTAAATCAGAAGTAATGCCTATGCCTGCTGCAATTTCTGGTCATATGGTCATGATATATGTAGGTGCGTACTCGTATGCACATAATGCTGCGGGCATAATTACAAATCAGCGTGGAGAAATTTGTCGACTTGTAATTTTATTTTTTAATTTTTATTTGTTGTTTTCTTTTACCAGAGTAAATTAGTCATTGAGCCGTCGAGTTATTTGTCTTATATGTCTTATGATCATTATATGTATGTGCAATTTATGTTGTAATTACGTATACATATATTAGGCGCCTGCAAGTTGATATTTAAAGTGTCAACAGGTAACTGACAATCCTGTCTTGTGAAGGTGGAGATCAGATGACTTTATTTTAGAAAAAATAAAATATACACCTACACATACAGAACAACGCAATGCCAGTTGTTATGCAGATACGCTTTTCATTTCTAGACAACGACAGTGAAATACGTAAGTCATTTGCCAATGAAAAAAACTGAGAACGGTTGAAGAAAAAACTTAAGAGGGGACTAACAAAAGTTCGGTCAGTTGGTGACGTTCAAATTGTTCTTGTTAAATCTAAAAATATCAAATTCTTTGCAATTAATATATTAGTCTTCCTTTCACATTTTAAAACGATCGGCTAAAACGGAGACGAGAAAATGCAAGAAAGCTGAGGATAGGTCATACGAAATTCCAACACCAACGCAAACAGAAATTCTCCATGTGATTCTCTTCGGATTTGCAGCCGAAACAAATATTCAGCGAATGCCAAATTGCATATAGAACGATTGCACTGTCTTTAAATATTATTTCTAAGTGGTACCGAAGATTCCAGACCGGATATTTTTCCGTGGAGGACAAGCGCCGAAAAGGTCGACTAAAATCTGATGACGTCACTGTTGCTGTGGTGAAGTTCAAAATTGAAGAAGACCCAACTGAATTGGACTTGAATGCCATGGCTGTATCGCGAATATTAAGTAATCAACTGGGATATACGAAAAAATCTGCTCGATGGGTACCAAGAATTTTAAATGAGGCCCAAAAAGTGGCTCGATTGCATTTTGCTCAATTTTGCCAAAACAAATCGAAAATGGTCAGTCTAGCAGCTCTGGTAAAGTCGTCACTGGTGACGAATCTTGGTTCCAAAAGTATGATCCAGTAACTAAACAGTAGTCCATGGTATGAAGCCCAACAGAAGCAAACCCACCAGTGAAATCTAAGCAACAAAAATCGGCAGCAAAAGTAATGATGTCAGTTTTCTTCACACGATCTAAAATCGTAGCTGCTATTTCACTGGAAAAGGATCAGAGGGTCAGACGGTACACCGAATGGTGCTTATCAAAGGTTTTCATAAATTTGTTGGAAAACATAAAGAAAGAGGACTTGCGGTGCTGTCCCACACTGGTGAAGCAAATAGTAATTTTATTGCCATCTCGGGGATCGAAGAAATACGTCCAGCATCCCATATTCGCCGGATAAAAGACCTTGTGATTTCTGGTTATTTCCAAAAATTTGAAAAAGAATTTAAATGGTGAGGTCTTTAATAGCAACGAGGAGAAAATTAATGTGGTTAATGCTGAACTTGTTAAGCTTAAAAGGCAAGATTTTGAAGACTGTTTTTGGAAGTAAATCTATAGGCTTAAGAAATTCATTGAGATCAATGGCGATTATGTAGAGAAGAT